GAGTAAAGTATTCACACCCTGAGGCCTGAAATACTCCTGTGCTATTAGATTATTCTAAAATGTAATCTTAAATAAATATAAAATGACCCAGTTTATTATAAGAAATCTGTCTGGACATAAATGCTGAATCAAGCAGCATTCATGCTACCGTCTGTAAAACGTTTTCTAGAGGAGGAAACGTTTTACAGATGGAAGTTCTGGAAAGTTGCAGACGGGGCGGTTTCATTTTTGTTTCCTTTTATGGGGATGAATCTTAAGACCAGAGAAGTAAAGTAAAAAAACACAAATACTTTGTTACTTTACTTAAGCAGAATTTGGGGCATTATATACTTTACTGGAGTAATTATTTTTTAGAAAACCTTTTTCTTCTTTTTTGCAATTATCTCTCCTTTCTTCTCCTTACATTTAAAAAATAGACTTGTTAGTTTTAAATATAAAGATTTATTTGTCTTAACAGGAAGTGTGGTCAAGCATTTTAATGCCTTAACTGTGTCATAGGAAGGAGGCCGTGTGGCTTCCTGTACCAACGGTTCCAATAAACCACATGGAGGGGTACTCACCTTTTAGGTTAACAGTCACTATTGGGTTTAACATCTGGCTGCACGCAGCTGAGACATCACAATAAATTATAAGTATTAGTTTTATTAGTACAGAGTTATAAATAAATCTAGATATTTTTTAAATCCAGACAGAAACGGAGCCCATCCCGCTGCCTTCACCCCACAGACATGTTTACCATGCCTCCAATGTGTCTGTGGCCAAAGGAGAGCCATCTCTACAGCTTCTGTGTCCCCCTGCGGTTCGGGTGGATCTCATTCAGTTTGGACAATCTGTAAAGTCCCTCAGTTCAAAAAGTTCAGTCCTTTTTTATTAAATCACTGCTTAGAAAGGTATAAAAGCATGGTGGCGGACATAAAGACACTCATGCCGCCATCTTTAACAGAAATTGCTGTTCTTCTTGCTCATTCTGGGAGTTTCTCTGTGGTCGTCCAGCTTCCTGGTTTTGATGAAACCCTGCAGCTGTAGGCTGGAGCTGCAGAAGCAGACCTGCTGGTCTGATGCTGCTAAAACATCCTGCTTGTTAATGAGGTTAGACCACTGATCTCATGCAACCACTTCTGGCCTTTACTTAATCAGATTTAGTTACTTTAACACAATTGTTTGATTTCCTATCCCGCTAACATGAAATTATTGTGTTAAAGTAACTAAATATGATTAAGTAACTGCCAAAAACAGTTGCATTATTTTTTTCAGTGAGGGTGGGGTGAAGCCACCAGACACCATATTGGTACTCCCTAGTCAGACCGGTCGCAATGTAAACAATCTGTGCGCTACAGCATCAAACAACTATGATTTTCTCATTTTCAGGGGGACTTAAGACTTTTAAAATAAAGATAAATTCATCACTTTAAAAAAACATTGGCTGTTTCATACCATCAGTAGATTAACTTTAACTTAGAATAAAATAAATAGGCCCATCACATTTCATAGTCATTATAAAGTCTATAAATCATGAAATAGAACATATTATACAAATCAATCAGAACAGAATTAATGTGTTAATGTATCATAATAATACTGCACTTAAATATCAAGAATATTACACACACACACACACACACACACACACACACTGTGCGTGTACGTGTGTGATAGATATTAGTGTTACACGTGTATTAGAATTGTACTCTTCGTGAGAGTGGGGAGTACTAAAATGGCGGCAGGGGAGTTCAGTTTTTTCGGCCTATTAACAATCCAGAGAATAAATACAGGTCAGTGGTGTAGACAAGCACCACTTTGGTTGGCTCTGATTGGTCGAAAGCAGCCTGATGTTTAGATTCAGGTCAAACCGACTCTGAGGTGTCAGAGTTCCCCTCCATGAGCTCTGATGGCGGTTATTTAGATTCTCAAGGCGGGTCGGTTTGTTTTCTTCCCTCTGCAGCAGAGATCATGTTTGAGCTTTAATAACCGACATTAAACACATTAAGTTTGTTTAAAGCAGTTAAAAAAGAGCAGCTGCTGACATCCAATCAGCATGAAGTAACTCTGACTGTCCTGTTCCTTTAAATAATGACATCATAGCTTTCATTGCTCTGAGATCCTGCAGACTAAGAACAGTCTTCCAGCTGCAGCAGCTGCTCTAATCGACTCTTTTCTTTTGCAGAAACCTCAACATCTGTAGTTTATTCAGCAGTGAGGACAGGAGACGTCCATCAGGGACAAATCACCTGCAGAGCAACCAGGAGCAGAGACACAGCTGCTCCATGACACGTTGAAGATCAATTTTACTTTTTACTGATGCAGATCAAATCTGCTGTAAATATAACTTCAGATAATGACTGTGGTTGAAAATAAAATTCTGTTTTTGTTCTCACTGATGTCTGACTGTTTCAGATCTTTCATCCTGGAGCATCTCAGCTCCAGCTGACCTTCTGGAAACATCTGTAGATGTTTGGAACCAGTTCATCATCTGCAGCTCTGCTCCACTAAGACTTAGAACCAGACCAACCTCTGAGGAGATGAACAGGAGGAGAGCTTCTGAGAACAACTCCAGAGTCCTGTTCTCTCTGAGGAACATCAGAGCTGCTCTGCTCCAGATGAACTGATGCTCCTCCCTGCTGAGAACAGATAAAGATCATTTAGACTTTACATGTCAGGAACATTTCAGGTCAGAACATGATGACTGTTAGAAACAGCTGGAGGGTTTAGAAAAAGCTGCTGAGGAGTTTCTGCTTAATTATTCACATCCAGGAGCAACAGGCAAACATCATTGGTGCAGGTCTGACTCCATGCTGCCCCCTACTGGCAGCAACCTGAATTTAAATAGAAGAAATAAATGGAGAAAGACACCAAAACAGAAAGAAATGAGGATATAGAATCAACAAACATGTAGAAAATCAACTAGATAACAACCATCATCAAATATCCTTCATTCTGCTTTAAGAATCAGAATAAATCTGCCCTGCATTTATTAAATATCTGGACTACTCTCAGAGCTACAGTCTGAATCTGGAAGGTTAAAGCCTGCCTTTATAAAACAACATCTGTTTCTAAATGTCCTCTTTATACTGAGAATCATAATCTGAGTTTTTATTTATGTTTCATAGACATATTTAGTTAGATGTCAGAGTTTATATTAATTCATCTCTTCCTTCACTGATTTATCTGCTGTTTTTTAAAGTATTTTATTTTATTCATCATTTTCCAGAATGCTTTTTAACTGGAGTAAAGGTAAAAACTATTTGGTAAAAAGGCGACTTGAGTTCTGAATAATTGCTGTATAGTAAAATCTGATTTAAAGTTTAGAAATGATGCAGACAGATAGACTTTATGTGCAAGTTTGGTATTTTAAAGACTCAAATGCATAAAGAAAACAAATAAATGTCATAAATATAAAAGAACAAATCCATGCAGAAGAAATATTTTTTTCCAAATCATTTCTTTCCCGCACAAAACTTAGAGAACCAATCATTACAGAGAGAACTCTCTTTATTTTGGGACAAGATAAATAACTTCCACTGATAATATCTACAGTTTGGTATCAAGTAACAAAGTTCTTTAGCTTGTAGAAATGTTGCCTATCTATACATTGCTAAAGTTTCTTTTTTTTTTGTTAGACAGCTTTTTACTTCTTCTCCTCGAGTTTCTTATTTAGAAAT